TCAATATAAACTTAAGATACAATAAAAAAATTAGTTTTACATTAATTGCAGTGTCATGGACTCGCTGAATAGCTTCAATACCCATTTGGTAAAATTCCTTTTCAACAATATTTTTCAATTCAACAGTTGTATTTGGTACTCGACTAACTAATTTGAATAAAAGTGCCAAATCTATAGAGAAAGAAAACCAAATGAATTATTTAACACTTAAAAATAAAATAAAGATTTTATAAGAAAAACTCTAAAAAACATAATTTTCGAAAAAATTTCAAGAAAAAATAAAATTTTTTATTTGGATCCTCACAATAATTTCGTAAACCACTATCAATTGATTGAATATCAATGAATTTGCCTTGACGTTTATCCTTGATTAATTGAAGACATTCTAATGTTTTTTGTTTCCACAATGGTGAGAAGAAAACGGGTTGCCGCTCTTCCATCGACATCTAAAATTAAATTAATTTTATAATTGATTTGACAAGATAAACAATCTATTACATTGGTACATAAGTTCTGCAAGGTTTTTTTTTGTTTTTTAGACAAATCTGAGGGTTTATATCTCTTTCCAGTCACGAGATATAAAGCCTCAAATTTGTTTAGAAAACAGAAGAAAACTTGCACAACTTATGCACTAACGTAGTGAATTTACTTACAGTAAAAATATCATCTCTACTTCATGAATCATATTTCCGTCGTATCCAATAAAGATTTAGATAATAGCAAAAGTCATTTATTACATCACTTGAACAACGGTAATATTATAAACAATATCAGGAGCTAAAAATTAGAAATAGTATGATCTTCAAAATAATATACTCGTTTATAGAAGTCGCTATGAGACGGCTGAGAATTGAGAATGACATACAGTACGAGGAGGAAATAAATCATATTTTCTATTGGTTACTTCATTTCCGCTTTTAGTTTCAGACTTAAAACCACTTTGTCATTAACTAGCCGCATAGTCCCGTTAGGGTGAAGAAAACTGATGAGTAACACTCGAACGAGACAATTGAGTAACATCGTTACTTGGCTCTAGATATTTTTACTATGGTTTGTAGCAAGCAGTGGAATACTAATAATAAGATCTTTCTAGATAGTGTGATCTTGTGAATGAATTATTTATATTAAAATTATTCTTTCGCTTTAAGTACTAGTCAAATAATATGAGTCAAATTTGGAGTCTTGAAAACAATAAATGAATTTTTTTTTTTTTGATTGATTTATTTTTAAACATAATTC